AAATATATATATATATGTATATATATATATCTGACCCAACAATTTGAAGGGAGTGGCCTGAATTTATTCATGCAAACCGAAGAAGAAAGTATTAATCATAATAAGTTTATTCTTTCAAAAAACGTTTAAGAAAAATAAAAGTTATGATGATATGTTTCCTTACCAAATGCTTTTATTGCATGATCCCCTCCCCCTCTCCCCCACCTCCCTTCGGGGGGGGAGGGGGTGATTAAATTATAAAGTATGACGCAAGCAATAAGATCCACCTATCCAAACCGTAACCACATTTTAGCACAATTTCAAAAACCATTCAAACCGGTTTTATGTGAAAAGACTCTTGCGTTTACAATCATATGCACGCAAATTTTACACTTCGCGCTCAACTCAAGAATTTAAACTCGAAAGCGCGAAAATGAATTCCAGCTGGAGGGTAAATTTCTCTAGCTCTCCCAGCTGAGTTGTGTGCTCAGGGTTTGTTGGTATCTCGGGTCAATGATAATGAGTGTGTGGATGAGAGGATGCCGGGGAAGGGGTTTCAGTTTTTAAAATGTAGTTTCAAGAAAAATGTGAGTTGAAATCTCTGATATTAATTTTGGTTTGAATGTTAACATTCTGTGCGTTATTTCTAATTTTGTAATTTTGAATTGCTGTCAGTAAGTTTAATTTTTCGAACAAATTGTAGGAAATTATATGATTTTCAGTCTAATTTAACATATATCCTCAGTCTATACTAAATATCTATGCAGTACACAGATACCGTAATGAAGTCCAGTTATTTATCATTAAAAAGTTTTTGATTAGTTTAATCAATGCTGAAATTGGCTTGCCTTTGCACCCATCTATCAGTATTAATCTTTTTATCTATCTGTATCTGTCTTTCTGTCTATCCATGTATCTGTCTTTCTATCTATCTGTGTCTATCTTCTATCCTTTCTATATGAATATCTATCTATATTTCTATTTAGCTCTGATCTAGATTTAAAAACAATTTTTAGTAAATTCTTTCTAAAGTTAGTTTCTCTCCTGAGTCCTGGTCAGTTTCTGGAGAAATAAACTTCTAAAACTATTTCAAACAGAAACCTGAAAGTTTTAAATTTTTTTGGTACACAATTAGACCGGGTTGGTTGCTTTCAAATCTGTACTGGATCCTTTCACAAGTACGGCTGATCAACAGTCTTTGGCCAGTTTTAAATTTGATGGATACGTGCTTGATACAAATTTTTTTTAGTTTTTCAATAGTGGTCGTCGTTTTTATCAATACAATTAAGACTTTTTTGTGGCTTTTTTTCGAATTACAAGTTTACACATAGGAAGGCTATTATTTGATAGTTTTATTATATATTTCCGCGATTATGTCTATCTACTATCCATGCTAGAGCACAAAATTAAATCCGAAAGATTTTTTTCATTGTTTTGATAAATAATATCACAGAGTATCCAAAAGAAACTAATTAAATCCCCCTGACGTGAAAGATACGAATCAATGCTTTGATAATCCACGGATACATGTAAATTTAACGAATCTTATTAAATCTTTGTAACCTGTAAATATAAGTTTCTTTAGTTCATTGACCTCAGTTGCGGTCATTTTATTTACCTGTACCTTTTATACCTGAATATAGACAGTTTAACACAGACTCTTGTTATTTACAGAACGTATATACCGTTTAAGGTAGCTAGAGAAGACAGAGTTTGAGGAGTTGTATCTGGATTGATACATATCTGAGAATACTTGAGTTATGCCTGGGGTTGCGAGAGAGTATAGCAGACGCATTATGCTAATAAAGACATTGAAGGATTTCGTCATTCTTACATACACATTGTGGTCATTTTTTACATTTAGGTAATCCAGAACCTTATAAACCATTAACAGTTGTTTTAAATAGGAGAGTCTATTAAATAGTTTTAAAATGAACTAAAAAACACAACCAAAACAATTGGAAGTTAAACTGGAGGTGCAGGTCATATTAGGATTAAAAATTGTTTAAATACTTAAAACATTTTGTACAAATTTTCTCATACTTGATTTAAAACAAATATTGTTGTTTAAGCTCTCGAACCATGAATTGTCAATTTTGTGGCAACTAATTCCCTTTAGTACTCTCCTAATCTTTCTCTTCAGTTATCCCCTAATCTTTCTTTTAAGTTCAATTCTCTCCTAATCCTTCTCTTCATTTCTTTCATAATCTTTCTNAACGACAAATTTTATGTTGAAAAATGTATCTACCTTCATAAAAAAATTTAGAATTAAAGCTTTATTTTAAGTGACCCTTCGTGCAAAGATGACAATGCCCGATTCACAACGGTACCCTCGAAACCTTCATCTGATTAAGAAGGTGGAAGGTTAGTTGTTTTTCTAGGTGTAATGCCTTCTTGGCCCAATAGACTGTGTAGGGTGCAGTCTGTTGGTATAGAGACTGAGTGAAATTGAAAGAGGATAGTGGACTTATCTTCCGATGGCAACCTGGGGATTCCATTTCGGGGTTCTTTTCAGATTTTTAATCTTATTCTTATTAGTGTTTAATTTTGATCATTCTTATCATTTCCTACTGTAGAAATGCGGAAGTCATCATCTAATTTGATCACATGGTTGAAATCTTGATGTTCACAATTCAACAGAATTATCATCTTCAACTATCCATGTATTACGAGTTTTTTAAGTCCCTATTATAAGAATTCCTCACGAAAATGTAAATATTGTATGATTTCAGTACTGCAGTATGAATCACCACAAAAAAATCTTGATAAAGTGAAAGTGGCATTACCTTATTCCAGCTGGGGGGGNAAATTTTTTTATTTTTCTAACTATCACATGTTCCTCACTATATGCTTGAAGCGGGGCTTTTAAACCAACTGCATGAATTCTCAGGCATACTGCCTGAATGCCTTCCTTCACCTTTACTCGACTAAATCTATTTTTAGACCCACTTCCGGTCACTGGATTTCGATTATTGCTCTTTGGAAAGCCTTAAACTTCATGATTACACTTTACTAAATAACTATAAATATGTTTGTCAAATTATCATTCTAATCGTTGAAAAACTTTTAGATTTTTATTTCAAACAAAAAAAAACAGAAGTTTTATTTTCGACATAAAATTATTTGTTAATCCTCTTTTAATTGAATTCAATTTTTTGAAAATTCAATTTACTGAAAATTTCTCCAATTTTGCAAATGCATATTTTTCATATTCAGATTTGCAATTTGATTTGAACATGAATTGATTTGACAGTTATAGTTTCACTTCAGTAGAAAACATTCAAGCATTAATTTTATTTTCAGACCAACATAACTATTTAACGAATGGTTAAAAGAGACTGACTAAAGACGACATTCAAAAGGTTTTAAAAATGCGGGAAATGATGTTTTCGCTGCTGGGGCTTTTAATCGGAGGTAAGTTTTTTCTTTAACAAGTAGGGAAAGCTAATGAAGGGGAAAAGACGGGAAATAAAAAAAGAATAAAAAAGGAAAATATTGAAAAGAAAGAAGCAACAAGAAAAAAGGAAAAAGAGGATGTAAAGGAAGAAAGAAGGATAGGAAATCGAGAAAGGAAAGAAAAAAAGAAATGAAAGAAAATCGAGAAAGGAAAGAAAATGGAGAAAGGGAATTAATTGAGAAAGGAAAGAAAATGGAGAAAGGAAAGAAAATAGAGAAGGGAAAGAAAATGGAGAAGAGAAAGAAAATGGAGAAGGGAAAGAAAATGGAGAAGGGAAAGAAAATGGAGAAGGGAAAGAAAATGGAGAAAGAAAATCAAATGGAGAAGAGAAAGAAAATGGAGAAGGGAAAGAAAATCGAGAATGGAAAGAAAATCAAGAAAGGAAAGGAAATCGAGAAAGGAAAAAAATGGAGAAAGGAAAGGAAGGCAAAAGGTAAAAGGTTAGGGGATTGATAACAATTTAACATTCTTCGAATAGAACTTTTTTCTTTTGAGTGAAAAACTTTATACAAAAACTAATTGCAAAATATTCACCCCTGTCTTGTTTGCGTAATGTATAATAAGAAATGTTGAGAAATATTATACGGTGGTCTACCGGGATGTATCCTGTCTGCTTATGTATATTATTGCTATACTAACTTTTTATTGTGCAAATGTTTAAAGTTCAAGACTACTTTGGATTTAGTAGCCAGTGTAATAAATAGTAAAGTGAAAACCAAAAACAAATCAAATTCATGTCAATTTTATGTTACATTGAAAACTAAAATGTTTTCCATCATAACTCCGAACTTGCTCTTCTTTATAGAACTAATGAGAACAGAAATGTTTTGAATTTCTTCAATGATCAATGATCATCCATAATTTGGAGTACTTTATTTTGGTAGAAAAAATCCAAACAATTGGAGCTACGAGGTCACAAACTCGTACCAGTAAAGTCGCTTAAATTTGACTTTCTGTCTAGTGCAGGAGTGTGAAAGACCGTTACAAGATTTTTGGGTGTTAAAATATTTTATATTTTTTCTACGCCCCATAATTTATGGTTTTCATACAGTAGCACTGATGTAAATGAAAGAATTCCTAGCGAATGGTGTTTGATTCCATGTTTGTTTATGATAATAAGGTTTAGGTAAACACTTTCAAAGTTGGACACGCCCGATTCACAATGGTACCATGTAAAACTTTGTCTGAGAGATTATACAAAGCTTTTTAGGGTACCGTTGTCAATCGCACATGTCACTTAATTATCTAAAGGCCAAGTAAAATTTCGTCTACAGTCACTTTACGAGAGCACCAGTTAGAGGAAGTCTGAAAAGTAAAATTAAAGCCTATAGATAGAAACCCCTTTTCAGATAAAGGAAGGTCGAGTTATTGAGTTACACGATATAGCACATAGCTCAATTCCATCTCTTAAAAANCAAGTTAGAGGAAATCTGAAAAGTAAAATCAAAGCCTAGGGATAGAAACCCCTTTTCAGATAAAGGAAGGTCGAGTTATTGAGTTACACGATATAGCACATAGCTCAATTCCATCTCTTAAAAATGACAATTATTTTTAAATTCTAATTTTTGCTGACTGGTTGGGCCATTCGCTTTCTCTAAGGACACTTAGGGTACAAATGGGGCTTATAATATAACATAATTAATTTTTAGGAGTCTTTTTAAAATATTTTTTCACATTTTTTGCATTTTATTTTCCTGATCTGCCTTTATTTAGGAGTGTTTTTGAGTATAAACGGATACAATATGGGGGCCCCTGATGCAGCTTGTAGTGGAATGACCCCAGGACATTCCAGAACACCACAGGCAAGTTTATTGCGGATTTTCAAAATTTTTAAAAATAGAAAATGATGGAGGCAAATTTTGAAATTTTGAAAATTTGGGCCCGACCGGTTCAGCCGTTTAGAGTCCAGGTGTGCAACTAGACATTCAGCAAGGGGGGGCAAAGTGTAAAGAATTTGTGCGCAGCGCAAAATTCCCCCCCCCCCCCTCCTAAACTTTTCTAGGGGAGGGGGGCCTGAAAAATGTGTTATACTCAGTCATTAAAAAAAACTACTTTACCATTTCAGGATAATTGTGTGGGAAAAATCTGAAATCTATATTTCAGGGGCAAATTTTATGTTTTGGAGGCAATTTTCAGTTAGGGGAAATCCTAAATCTTCGTTTTAATGGGCTTTTTTCAGTTTGGGCAAAATTCTGTATGGGAAATCTTAAATATTTATTTTGTGAGCAAATTTTTTTATTTAAAAGTATTTTTTAATGTATAAGAAGAGGCTTTTTTTTAATCAAAGGGTTATTTTTTTTGTTGGGCGCAAAACATCTTAATTTTGAAGTAATAACTTTAAAGTTAGGGGTATTTATAAAACATTTGGGGATAAAAATATATTAAATTTAGGTGCAAATTAAAAATATTTGGTGGTTTATTTTTTTCTTCAAATTTTCGAGAAAATTAGTTCTAATTGGAGTTAGCCCGGAACCCCCCAGACCNTCTTAAGGGGGGGGGGGCATGCCCCCCTTAATCAGGCTATTGCGCGCCTGGTTTTGACGTTTATTGGACACAAACGGACAAACTGACAAACAGACAACAAGCAAGGAATATAGACTGCTAATAGTGTGCTTCGAGTCCATTTTCTATTTCAACTTTTAATTGTGGCTTTATCTGTGAGGATTACTTCTTTGTACAGAATATTAAACTATAACAAACAAATATTTACGGATTTCAAATTAATTTTTCGCGCATTATTAAAATTTTACAATAATAAAAACTTTTAAGCACATATTTTTGAAATTTTGATCATTCATAAACCTTTTCCTGGGGTCACGTGAGGTTCTACACAAATTTGGGCTCGATTGGTTCAGCCGTTTTGACGTTTATTGGATACAAACAAACAAAAAACAGACAGGAAGACAAACAGACAGACAAGGAAAGTAAATATATAAATATAGAATAGATGGAATTGATTAGTATTTAGTTAATTGCTTGATTTTACCAATATATAAAATCGTTGAATATTCAACTTATCAGTACATTGATATTTGATTTAATATTTCATTCATTAAGATTTTATTTTTTATTGATTATTTTATTCAATAATTCAATGATTAGCTAATTCATAATTGTATAATTCATAATTGATCTGATTAAATGTATTTATTTTTAGTTTCTTCTTTAGTTTCTCATATATTAACGGTTGAAGACTAAAGAGCCGAAAAGATTATTATAAAAAAAACTTAAAGACAAAATAAAAACAAAGCACAATATCAAAAATAAATCGACAAAAGAAAAAAAAAGCTTTTTATTTTTATAACTTCATATCTCTTATATACTCCACCAAGAGTCATGAGAAAAACCCAAACATAAATATATTGATCAGGTTGGAGATGCCCCTGCTAAACATAAATATATTGATTAGGTTGGAGAAGCCCCTGCCAAAGTGATTGTGAATAAGAGTTTATTAAAACCTGGAGATATTGTTGATCTTGTTCTGCATGGAGGGAAGGGAAAAACGTTCAAGGGGTTCATCATCCAGGCCAGAGATGCTGCTAAGATAGAGGAACAGGTATTTTTGTGAGGTCCCCCCCCCCTCATTTCTTAAATATAATTAGTTTCACATGTAAGAAAGTTTTGCACAAAGTTTTATTTTAACTCTAAATCTTAACTTTAAAGATATATTAATAACTTGCTGAAGTGCCTGGCGTTGCACGTGGAATTTTTAGAACAGCATGAATTTGTTAAGTAATAAAATTCGAATTTGTTTAAATTATGTCACATCCAGGGTACCCAATTACCCATGGGTTTTCTAAATAAATTCAGCCATTTTGGTTCAGCCGTTTGGCCAGGTAACATATAAAAAGATATAAATATATATATACGACCAAAGATGTTTATTATAAAGATCAAAGGTTAAAGATTATAATCAAAAAATTAAAATAACCAGGCAAACTGTAGCCACTAGTTACACTTAAAAATATTTAAATTTTTTTTATTTTTTAAGTTTTTCCTTAGAAAGCAGATTTAATGAATAGTTGTAGTTGAACCTCAAATCAGTTCTCTGAAGCTGAAGATGAAGAGATGTATGGTTCAATTTAATCTAGTAGTTAAACTACTTCTCCTATATATTAAATACTAGCTAAAGTGCTCGGCGTTGCCCGTGTAATTTTAAAACCCCTATATTTTTTTTAAATCTAGAATTTTAAGAAAAAAAGTTATATTTTTATTAGCTTATGTCGCCTCCGGTGAACCCATGGGTTTCCTAGAAAAAAGTCATCCGATTTGGTGAAGCCATAGCTAACATGTAAATGAGCAAAAATAATTTTTTAGATGAATTAAGAGAATTGGGTGCTTTGTAAGTTTGTGTTCATAGGAAATCTATACTTCAAGATTTAGTTTGATAATTAGCTTTTTGTTCATTAACAATATTATGATTCTTGTTAAATCTAGGTTGGTAGCTTTGTTGCAGAAGACGATGCTAAATACATGACATGTGGGCGAGGCATTCACAACTCCCTGACACACAGGTAAATATCCAGATTATTAGTTTATTGTTATTGTTATTGTTATTGTTATTGTTATCGTTATTGTTATTGTTAAGGTTGCATTTGTATTTACATGATTACAAGATTATAACATCTACTGTTAGTTATTGTTATTGTATTGTTATTGCTACTGTTATTGTTATTGTTTTTGTTTTTGTTATTGTTTTTGTTATTGTTTTTGTTATTGTTATTGTTATTGTTATTGTTATTGTTATTGTTATTGTTATTGTTATCGTTATTGTTATTGTTATTGTTATTGCTACTGCTGCTGCTACTGTTATTGTTATTGTTAAGGTTCTATTTGTGTTTACCTGGTTACAAGACTATAACACCTACTGTTATTGTTATTGTTAAGGTTCTAATTGTATTTACCTGGTTACAAGACTATAACACCTACTGTTATTGTTATTGTTATTGTTAAGGTTCTATTTGTATTTACCTACACCTACCGTTATTGTTATTGTTAAGATTGCATTTGTGTTTACCTGGTTACAAGACTATAGCACCTACCGTTATTGTTATTGTTATTGCTAAGATTGTATTTGTATTTACCTGGTTACAAGACTATAACACCTACCGTTATTGTTATTGTTAAGGTTGTATTTGTGTTTACTTGGTTACAAAACTATGACACCTACTGTTATTGTTATAGTTATTGTTAAGGTTGTATTTGTGTTTACCTGGTTACAAGACTATAACACGTACTGTTATTGTTATTGTTAAGGTTGTATTTGTACAAGACTATAACACCTACTGTTATTGTTATTGTTAAGGTTCTATATGTATTTACCTGGTTACAAGACTATAACAACTACTGTTATTGTTATTGTTAAGGTTGTATTTGTACAAGACTATAACACCTACTCAATAGGACATATAATTTATACTGTTGTCAATAGGACATATAATTTTTACTGTTGTCAATAGGACATGTCACTCTATCATTGGTGGGTCCCATTATAAAAATACATGTATGCAGTCCCTTAAATCTATTAAAAAAATCTTTTTGATGAAAAGTTGCGGGTTGAAATTATTTTTCGTGATATTATTTCTTTGATATAATTGAATAAAGATCAAAATAAAAAAGTTATTTTTCTTTCAAAAGTTTCAGGGCATTTTTTCTGATTGATAAAACACTTATTATAAAATGAAATCCTACCATTCTGTGTTAGGTTTTTTCCCGTACGTATTTTCCCTAGGGCGACTTCCCAAGTGAAAAATTCTTTACTGACAAATTCCCAAGTTGCAAATCCCCAAATGGCAACTCCCCAAATTTGCAAATTTCCCAAGCGGCAAGTTCCCAAATTTTCAAATCCTTCTGAGGCGCTGCAGGCTGCAAGGGTGACTGAACGCTGTGGCTAGGACAGGCAGGCTAGGAGGCCGGGCACTGCGGCTAAAAGCAGCAACTTCCCAAGTTCGCTTGGGAAATTGCACATTTGGAAGTGGCCACTTGGGAAAATCCAAACATCTATCATTTTGTTCGTAATCGAGCTATCTCTAAACTTCTGTTAATTTCGAACAAAATATTGTTAAGTTCGTAATACTTTTGTTATTTCGATTTTATTTACAAAATGGAAAGTTTTATTTCTTACACTGCAAAAGTGATTTTAAATCTAGCTAATACTTATAATTTCTGTTGAATTCAAAGATGAAATAGGGGATTCTGGTTTCATAAGGAAGAAAGTTGTCAGAACTTTCCGTTTGCTTTTAATCAATTTATTTGTTTGACTCTATTAAATTAGTAGATTCTCTTGAAATCCCCCACAGAGGTTTCTAATTTCTAAGTAAACACAAATATTTGATGTTTTAGTAGATTTGGCATATCTTACTTTCGGGAACAAAATCAAAATCATTTCTGTAAGAGTGAAAATATTGGACCGAAGCACTGTATAAGTTACAGTCAGAAACAGAAAGACCCGGAATTAATTGACAGTTAATCAGACGACTTTACGTAAACATTTTTAATCGCACGATAAAAGCAGACATTTTGGAATTGGCAGAACTAGGGCTATTTGTTATTTTCGTTTCATTAATCATATTTGTAAAATTAGATTGTAATGTCGTCTGATTAATTATAAAAGTAGTTCCGGGGTTTTCTGATTTTTACTGTAGAAGTCTTGTTTTGTCGAATTATTAAATGTGTTCCAGGCTTTTCAAATTTTTTGCTCTTCAATGTTTCTTTTTTATGCCTCCATGGTTCTTTGTACTCCAAAAAACTAATATTTTGCATATTGATGGATTTTTTATATTTTTTATGTTTTTTAAATTTCGACCTGTCTTGGGGTTGTAACTCAAAATTTGGGGCTGATCGGTTCAGCCATTTCATGTTTATTGACACCGCCTTACAAACCAGCCGACGGCCGCAAAAACTTGATGATATATAGACCAGAGATATAATCTATATTCAGGATGATGTTGCGAGTCCTGATGATGGTCCTAAGGAGCCGATGTCCACAGAGGTCTTGCTCGAGGAGGAGTTGAACGTTGACCTCCTTGAGGAGATCGAGGAAACTGTTGGGAACGAGGTGAGGATCCAAATAAATAAAGTTTTTGGCCTGGATATTTAAAAAGAACGCTTGGGTCCTTAGATTGGCTTGGATTTGTCACGCAGCCGGAACTTGATTTCCGGCATGGATTTATTTCCAACGGAGAGATCTCGCTTACAACTAGGACATGTGGCGGTTATTATCCGCCCTACTGCTAACCTAGACTACAGACATACGTACACGTGAGCCTTCATGCTCACAGTAATAGGTCTCTTAAGATTTTCAAAAAATTTAAACATCTTTTTATGTCATTATTTAAAAATCATCAATTCTATTATTTAAGATACGCAATTTATTCTATTCTATTCATAAACAGTAAAAATAAAATTATAGTTTAAATATATTTGCAAATCTTTGGAAAAGATTTCAAGCTCATTTTCAAATATAAGGCCTACTTTTGAAGGTTAACCCCCAACCCCCTCATTAATAGGCATTATACTTACATTACTTTTATAACAATAAAACAATGTTAAGGTCTGTAGAGTGTAGGCTAACCAAACTTTTTCCAGAGAAACCCCGTAAAGTATTAATTAACTTCAAATATTTTGACTGACAAGATTTGAATAAATCGGATAAAAAAACGGGTATAATGGATGAAATAGTGTATAACTAAAATTACGAACATACTACGAACACTTTTTTTTCAGTTAAAAACAAATTTGAGAATTCTCTTTCTTTCAAGATGAATAAAAAAGAGAAGGTTTTTTTTCTTAAATAAGAACTTTAAAAATTGAAATGTATTAAGATCTTGGAGACAGAGGTTGGTGAGATTACAAGTATTGAAGACGACAACGAGAAACATCTTCATCCTAAGGAAGATTTCAAGGATTTGGTGCAAAATCTTGATTTACCCCAACCTTCACAGAAGGCAGAGCTTCCTTTAAACCTGGCTGCAGCACAAGATCAGGTAAACTAGTCAGTTTTTCCTGCCATTTTGTTAAAAATTTGCCATTTTGTTAAAAATTTACCATTTTGTTAAAATATCTGCGATTTTGTTTAAAAATCTGCCATTTTCATTAAATATCTGCCATTTTATTTAAATTTTTGCCATAGTGTTTGAATATCTGCCATTTGTTGAAATATCTGCCAATTTGTTTTTATATCTGCCACTTTGTTTATATATCTGCCATTTTGTTTAAATATCTACAATTTTGTTGAAATTTCTGATATTTTGTTTATGTATCTACCATGTTTAAATACCTGCTATTTTGTTTAAATTTCTGCTATTTCGTATTTAATATCTGCCATTTTGTTTAAAAAAATTTCCATTTTGTTCAAATATCTGCCTTTTTGTTTAAATATCTGCCATTTTGTTCAAATATTTGGCTTTTTGTTTGAATATCTGACATTTTGTTCAAATATTTGCCTTTTTTAAATTTCTGCTATTTGTGTAAATATCTGCCTCTTTGTACGTCATTTTATCAAACTTTTTGTATGTCATCGTTTATCAAAATTTCCGCCATTTTGATTTAAAAAAAGTTTTCTTTAAATTAAAATATATTTTACTATATTTTGTTTTGCAGGTTGCTCCAGTAGATTCCTTTACTCCAATATATATCAGTTCCACCACAACCCTGAGGTAAACAATTTTATTCATAATTTCAAAATTTATATTTTTTGTTTTTTGAGCAGCCATTTTATTTATTGTATTTTTAGCACTAGCACTACAACAGAGACTCCGTATGCTGATCCTCTTCCCATTATTGGTGGAATTCTACAGCACACAGATCCAAAGGATCCCATATTTAATGATTGCAACACCACAAAGGTAGGTTTGGCTCAAATGAACCTCCAGTAACTGTTTGAGTGAACTTTCGACGTTCGTAAAATTTAAAATTGTAAAAATTCTTTTTAAAGAAACATTAGTTTTTCAACAACAAATGTTATTTACAAACTATATAATTTTTCTCAATGCGATTACTTTATTTTGTATTTGATTCTTTATTTTTTTCCGATTATTTTTTCCCTGACATTTTAAAGAATTTTCGGAGCATAACATTTCCATTTTGTCTAGGCTTGTTTTGGTATTCCTGACAATTGTGTTTCCTCAGGAAAATGTCAAGCCGTCGTGGCCTACTATCCGGACAAGTAAGTTAATAAAATTTAGAAATTGTCAGGGGAGGAAATTTCTAATTTGTGAATTGTTCCAAATCGGGCACTGGAGTTTACTGCAGAGCTCTCAGTTCTTGAGATCTTTGTTTAGAAGTAACACGTAGTCCAAACTCTACTACACACACTTGGCTAGGCGAATGACAGAAATAAGACGACGACATTTTTAACAATTAGATGGTGTACATTTGGACAATTTTCATTTAAACTAGTTGATCTATTGACCAATAGAATATTTGAACAAATTGTTTAATTTCATTACAGGCATAGATTTATCTTTTACTCATTTTAGGTATTTATCTTCTGTATAAATCTCAAAAATTTAATTCAATTGAGCACTATGTTTTACCTTAAATCTTTTCCTAAAACTAACGTTTAGTTGAAAAACTACATCAGAAAATGTAGGCGCAGTTTAAACGATTAATTGTTGTTAAAATCGGAAGTTCACATTACAGTAGTTCAATTATAGTATACCACATGCCTTTTAAAGAGAGAAAAGTAATTCGTGAAACTGTTTATTAAGTCTGGAGAGGAAAGGAAGGCCTGACACAACAATTTCTCGTCCAAGCCACATTCTCCTCATTTTCTTGTCCGAGCCACCTAGAAATCCTCGTCCATCGATTACTATGTGTTTTAAAGTTTATAATTATATATTTGGCAAGGTTAGGGCACAACATATGAATACACTTAAGTATTCTAATGATTACATCATGTTAGAATCTTGCAAGAGCTGAGAATGATGTCAAAATTTACTTAGGTAAAACTTAAATCTCTTCTGCCTCCAGAATAGGTAACCTTCGCGAGATAAAATAAATAGCAAAATATTTGGCATACCTAAACAAGGATTATCGGAAAATGCGTGTAAAAAAGGTGAATATTTTTAAGGACATTGAACTCAAAAACTTTAATTCAAGTGAAACTATTTTTTCTATTTACTAAAATTTAATATTTCATTTATGCCCTAATGTGGCCCGATTCTTAAAAAATAGTTTTATCTTGAAGGATTAGGTTGAACACTTTAAAAAAAATTGGAAGGACGAGGTTTTTGAGGTGGCTCAGACGAGAAATCAAGAAGAATGTGGCTCGTGTGTGATATGTGATAATCTATACAGTAAACATTCTTACTGTTCACACAATATACCAGAGTAGTTATTATACAGATTGTGTCAGACAGAAATTATTTTTTAAGATGAAAGTAGACATACTCTTCTTATTATTACCATTGTCTATTTTAATCCCTCTAATTCAATTCTAAACTAGTTTGTATTTCGACCAAAAATTTAAATATTAATTTTTGTTAAACATATGAAGAAACTATTTTTTAAAGATAAAAATAAGTTTATGATCCAATTAAAGGATTGTTTCCCCTGAAGTCATGAATTTTAAAATGTTGAATAAATAAAAAGTTTTTTGTTCAGATATTTAAAAATAATATTTTCCCAAACATTTCCTCCATATCTCCCGCATTTCCTTCAACCGGTAATAAACAACATTCAAAAATGCAAACCTTTTTACTGAAAAAACCCACATGTTTTCTTAAATATACTATCTTTGCTATTTCAAGTGCTATGGCCGATACTTAATGGTAACCTTTAAACCTATGTTTACAATTTTAACCACTGTTTCTGTTGCAAGAAACCCGCAAGTTACTTTAACAGAGAAGCTGCCAGGGGCGGATCTTGTCCCCCCCCATCACTTAAATCCTGTATCCGCCCCTGGAAGCTGCAATAGAAAATAAACATTTTAAAGAAAGAAGGGATAAAAAGAATTTTTCCTTAACCAAGGAGGGAAATGATTGATACCGTTGTGAATCCGTACTCGGTTATAAATGGAGGGTTATTTGAAATAAAATTAACAGTCTTTAAATTAAATTTTTTATTTCTATTTTTTTCTTGTAATTTTCTTGTAATTGACTGCAACGTAAAATAGAGCCGATGAACTAATTAGTCTCCAAATTTTATGAATTGTCTCTAACAGTCAGAAGACATATTGTAGCACCAAAACAAACCCCTAAGTTTAATGTCTGTAAAAGCCTTTTGGTGTGATTTTTACTGATTTTACTTCAAACAGACTTTTAAAAGTAGTAATTAGGCAATCATATAGTTCACTTAAGGCTTTGCTTTTTTGCTAAGACATGTCTTATGACTGTTAAGAAAAATTCACATGATTTTGCGACCCTGACATTATCGATTCCAACAATAGAGCAGAAAAATACAGAATAAGCCTGATTAAGCCTTAAAACTACAGTTACGCTCGAGTTTAGACCTGAAAATGCACTTGATTTCTACAATTTCTTTAAAACGGATTTACTTAAAATTCTCTGGGTGGCATTTTCTGGAAAAACTCAAGATACTGCATCTATCTATATAGTATATATACTTTGTCTGTTTGTTTGTATACATATAAACGTCAAAACGGCGGAACCGATCAGGCCCAAATTTTATGTGGAACCTTACATGTCCCCAGGGAAGGTATACGAATGCTCAGAGTTTTAAAAATAAGCCTCTAACAAAATTAAATTTCCATTAAATTTTGAGAATCCACGATTTTTTATAAAATACGCAAACTTTTTTTGTGTTATATAGAAATTTTTTTGGAAGTTAGGGCCTGGAAAGCTTTATTTAACTAACTTGCTTAAAATATGCAAACTTTTTTTGTTTAAGCCTAATATTAATATATTCCAAAGAAATATTTAGGAATTTTGACTTTAAACCTGATGGTACATTTTCAGCAGTGTGCTAAGCTGTTAAAAGTGTACAATTAAATTGTAAAGTGTTATATAGAAGTTTTTTTGGAAGTTAGGGCCTGGAAAGCTTTATTTAACTAACTTGCGGAACTTCTTAAATAGACTGAAATTTTGCCCCACACCCGAGTTTTATGGTCCCATGTCTTTGCAACCTGAAGGTGTGAACCTTTAAAATTTCAAACTTAAAATATTTAATCTTGCAGATTTTTTAGTTTAAAATAACATATATAGAGGTTGCAAAGATAAAAGGATTAGGAAAATCAGAGTTAGGGGCTAAAACTAATTCCTTTAATCGTATAGTGGATCAAGGCGTGGAACTAAAAAGGAAATTTTATTTTCAAAAATTTATTTTTCAGAAATTTATTATTTGTTTGTTAAGGCTTCAATTCCACTTCGAGATGAAAGCACTTTCTGCTGGATATGTGGCCTTCGGACTTTCCAGGTAAATACAGTGAGGCCCAAATGGGGTAGAGGAATACGACGGTTAGTCTGTTAGTCAAGTTTAAAGATAAACTTTGGAACACAGAAATTGTATCGTGTGCACTGGCACATGTCACTTAAAAAGTTGATTTATAGATTTATAAGCTACTTTTAAAACTATTTGCTTTGAACTATAACATCATCAAGATTTATTAAATGCCATATCTTATATCGCTGTTTTATGGGTTTCACTGTATGTAGATGGATTTTTTTTCTGGTAAAAAAATATCGAACTATAATTGAATAATGACGCTTACACTTTTAGAAGATAATATTTTGTTCGGAATATACTGAAATATATATCGTACTCGGTACTAAAATATATATATTGTACTCGGTACTGTAATATATATCGTACTCAGTACTGTAATATATAACGTACCTGGTACTGTAATAGAAAACGTACTCGGTACTGAATTATACAACCTACTCGGTACTGAAATATAAAACGTACTCGGTACTAAAATATATAATGTACTCTGTACTGAAATATATAACGTACTGGGTACTGAAATACATAGCGTACCGGTACTGAAATATTTATCGTACTCGGTACTGAAATATACAACGTACTCGGTACTGAAATATATAGCGTACTCGGTACTGAAATATATACGTACTTGGTACTGAAATATACAAACTACTCGATACTGAAATATATAACGTTCTCAGTACTGAAATATGTAACGTACTCAGTACTGAAATATATAACGTATTCGGTACTGAAATATACAACGTGTTCGGTACTCAAATATACAACGCACTCGATACTGAAATATATAACGTACTCGATGCTGAAATATATAACGTATTCGATACTATATGACCTATATGACCTACTTGGTACTAAAATTCTTTGGAAAAGCGGAAAAGCTGTGTAATTTTTTTTCATTCATAATTTTCTGGTATAGTATTAATATTCCAAAATATAGGTTTATTGTTATCAATATTCTGATAAAACTAGAAATAGGCATCAATATTCTAATAAAACTAGAAATGGGCATCATTATTATCCATTTTTCAAATTTACAGTTCTTTAAGGTTTAAAATTTCTTAATTATTTAATTTCAAAATTTTATTCTCTAAAAGTACACATTGAAAATTCTGTCTCCGAAACTATTTCTCAAATCGTTCGTTGCTGACATTTTCTTTCCAAGGTTTAAATTTAGCATAATTTAATAAGAAAAAAACTAATAGATTTTTCTTGGCTATGTAAGACCTCGTTTTTTGTAAATCCTTGAATATTAAAAAACAAAAAATAAAAATGCTTAATCACTAAAGAACAATTGCAGCAACTGGAGTGTTATAGAATAGGATATAATGACATAAAAATGGGGCCAATACATGTTTTGAAGTGCAATTATTTATGCAATAAAAATGGGGCTTGACATGAATGAGAGTACTTGGCCAAAAAAAGAACCCTTTTCCTATCTGATACTAACATTGCCAAAGCTTAAATAAATTCAAATCAAATCAAAAATATGTTATCAATTAAGTATGTTTGCTTAATTGCATTTATTTCTTTGAATTCTACTAGGAAATAAAGTCCGCTTATGAAATATCAAAGGTTTACTGGTTAAAAATATATATTGATAAGAATATTTGAGTTTGTTTCAAGTTATTATTTTTTTTTTATTAAGGGATGGAAAGATGGGAGAAGATCTAACTACCAACTGCCTACTTCAGGTGTGCATTGAGTTTTTTTTTGGCTATATTTTCTTTCTGGGTCAAAGTTTGACATGGTGTAAGAAGCGCAAAATTTAAAAAAAAGTATTTATTCTGAGCATTTCTTTCACTATGCCAAATTTTCACACTTACAGGAAAAAATATGCTAAGAAATTAACCAGAAACTATCGATACACGAATTTATATAAAGGTTAAATTTTAGTTTATTTGTTCAGGATAACGGAAATGTTGATATTACAACAGGATAAATGTTTCAGGATAACGGAAATGTTGATATTACAACAGGATAAATGTTTCAGGATAACGGAAATGTTGATATTACAACAGGATATATGTCTGAGGATAACGGAAATGTTGATATTACAACAGGATATATGTTTCAGGATAACGGAAATGTTGATATTACAACAGGATATGTGTTTCAGGATAACGGAAATGTTGTTATTACAACAGGATATATGTCTGAGGATAACGGAAATATTGATATTACAACAGGATATATGTTTCAGGATAACGGAAATGTTGATATTACAACAGGATATATGTTTTAGGATAACGGAAATGTTGATACTTCATCAGGATATATGTTTCAGGATTACGGAAATGTTTATATTACAACAGGATATATGTTTCAGGATTACGGAAATGTTTATATTACAACAGGATATATGTTTCAGGATAACGGAAATGTTGATATTACAACAGGATATATGTTTTAGGATTACGGAAATGTTGATATTACAACAGGATATATGTTTTAGGATAAATATTACAACAGGATATATGTTTCAGGATAACGGAAATGTTGATATTACAACAGGATATATGTTTTAGGATTACGGAAATGTTGATATTACAACAGGATATATGTTTTAGGATAACGGAAATGTGGATATTACAACAGGATATATGTTTTAGGATTACGGAAATGTTGATATTACAACAGGATATATGTTTCAGGATTACGGAAATATGGATATTACAACAGGATGTGTGTTTGAGGATAACGGAAATGTTGATATTACAACAGGATATATGTTTGAGGATAACGGAAATGTCGATATTACAACAGGATATGTGTTTGAGGATAACGGAAATGTTGATATTTCAACAGGATATATGTTTGAGGATAACGGAAATGTTGATATTACAACAGGATATATGTTTGAGGATAACGAAAATGTTGATATTACAACAGGATATGTGTTTGGGGATAACGGAAATGTGGATATTACAACAGGATATATATTTGAGGATAACGGACATGTTGATATTACAACAGAATATATGTTTGAGGATAACGGAAATGTTGATATTACAACAGGAAATATGTTTCAGGATAACGGAAATGTTGATATTACAACAGGATATATGTTTCAGGATAACGGAAATGTTGATATTACAACAGGATATAATTATGGAAAACAGAAAAATGGACTCCCTCTGGGACTTAAAAGGGTAAGAGCCAACTTGAAAGCTTGATTTTCTATTACAATGAGAAATTTTATATTTCATGATAATTTATAACTATATTTTTACAATAATATTTATTGTTGAAGAATAACTAAGGTTAGAAATAATGGTATATAAATACAATCCTGTAAATCCTACAAATGAAAGTCTTGAGCCATCTTTTAATATTTTCTTGTCAAAACCCTCAAACTAGCTGGTGCCTGGTAGGACCTCAAAAGCTAGCTGGTGCCTAGTAGGACCTCAAAAGCAAGCTGGTGCCTTGTAGGACCTGAAAAAATGCACCGTAATTTCAAATTATGAACTTGCATGCTCAATTCACAACGGTACCATTAAAAGCTATATCTGATAAAGATTGAATGAATTATCTCCGGGTCTCTTATTGAAAATGGCCTATTTTCAATAGTTGTCTCTCTCTTTTAGTGATATACGCATTAGAAACAATATTGAAAATTGTCAGATAATAACGATCATATCCTTCCTATTATTAATCAGATAAATTGGTTTAAAGGGACCGTTCACTTATTTGGGTAATGTCATGGTAAACTAATTAGCCTATTAAGTATTCATTGGTCTTACTTGTTAAAGATGTCTATGACCGGAGAAACGGCCGATTTATCGCCTGAATTCCAAGCAAAGGTATGATTCCTTTGCATAGACACTATTATAACGTTTTTTCAGTAACAACAGCCCAAAAAAAACTAAAATTACATTTCAACGACATCATGTGCCAGCCTGCAGCCATTTCTTTCAAAGAAACCGGTTCCTAAATTTCAACTCTTCAATAAATCACGGGGACGTATATAACGGTCAAATGTTTAAAATAAGTTATATTTTGAAAATAGACAATTTAATAATAATTATCAAAAGAATTAAAGATATTTACAATTAACTACAATTTAATTTTTAATACTTGAAAATTTTAAAAAATCCAAGACTATGAAAAAAAGCATCAAATAGTGTAAATGCAAAAGTATCGTACCTTTGGTTTGGAATTCTGAAAGATAAATCGTCTTTTCTCAGGCAACAGTTGTCTTTGAAAAGTAAGACTAATAATACCAATGAATAGCTAATATGCTATTTACTTTACCCTCAAATTACCCAAATAAGTGAACGGTCCCTTTAAAACAAAATTTCAAAACCATTACTTCATGTCTACTACCAAAAACTGCAAACATTGTAAATCCATGAAAATAAATAGTTAAAGAAGAAAAAATAATTTTTAATAATTCTGTAAAATTATTTTAAAGGATGAAGATGGGATTTCAGAAAGGTTGACAAGTGGACGGAAGGATGGTTGGATTACTTGCAGCTGGAGGAGAACTAGATCAATTGTTGTAGGTTTGTTATTTCTATCATTCTGATAAGTATTTCTATTATTCTGATAAGTATTTATATCAGTCTGTTATGTTTTCCACCATTCTGTGAATTATTTATATACTTTTGTTAGTTATTACTATCATTACTAAAAAGGTTAAATAATGCTATATTCAGAAAGTGAGATCTGGGACCTAGAGAAGGATAAATACCATATTATGCTGGCTCTAGGAGATGTTCAAGATTATCAGCTTCAATATCATAATGCAAAGGTAAACCTCCTGTACTCCCCCTCCCCCCTCCCCCCTCCCTGCTGGCTCTAGGAGATGTTCAAGATTATCAGCTTCAATATCATAATGCAAAGGTAAACCTCCTGTACTCCCCCTCCCCCCTCCCCCCTCCCTGCTGGCTCTAGGAGATGTTCAAGATTATCAGCTTCAATATCATAATGCAAAGGTAAACCTCCTGTACTCCCCCTCCCCCCTCCCCCCTCCCTGCTGGCTCTAGGAGATGTTCAAGATTATCAGCTTCAATATCATAATGCAAAGGTAAACCTCCTGTACTCCCCCTCCCCCCTCCCCCCTCCCTGCTGGCTCTAGGAGATGTTCAAGATTATCAGCTTCAATATCATAATGCAAAGGTANTTACATTTGCATTCCCTTTAAGAGAAATATAATCTTTTGTTTAGACTATATCTGGAAGCCCGATGGGATTAGGACAGGTTGGCTTGATCCAGGCTAAATCTAGGCTTTACATCATGGTCCATGGATCATTCATGATTGGAGCCTGGATCTGTGCTGCCAGTGTAGGGATTATGATTGCTAGGTATTTAAATATATTTAATTACAATTCATAAATATAAATTCGGGAAATTTATTATCAATTATAGTGCCGTGGACTCCGCGCTCTCCTTCTGAAATATAGAAACCTCCCTTTACTATCAGTTTTATCTAAACTGACCTGGAATATTATAATCACGCGAGGTTGCTATATTTTAGCAGGAGGGCAGGAAGGGAGGGGGATAAAAAGAACTATGATTGAAAGCTTAGTTTATAGAGTAGGGTCTTTGATACTAACTAAATTTTATAATTCTAATATTTTGCTACCTGATATTGTAAACCTAGATTATTTGATTCAACAGAATTCATAATTTGAGATGTCTATAAGGTCTACGACATTGGGTTGCAAAGATATAGGGATTAGAAAATCAAAGTTTAAATTCAGAATTCTAGATCAAACAAATTTATTACTATGTGAGAAATCCAAAAATTCATATCATAAATCATAATTAATACTCATTATAGTGTATGTATTTCATTTATAAAAATTTGTTTTTAGATATTTTAAGCAAACCTGGACTTCTGGACAGATGTGTGGAGTGGACCAGTGGTTTATATGGCACAGGTAAATAGGGTTAAAGAGTTTTTTTTACATTTTTTAATAGGTAGCAAGCTCTCATGCACAAATCTATGAGAATTTTACCCTCCATGCAATGATGATGATGTCCGAATTACAATGGAATCCTTCCAAGCGTTGGCTCAAGTATGAATTAGATATCAATGTTTATCATTTTGAAACTGATTATTTTCGATTGTGGTTTCTCTACAGAAGTGACTTGCGCATTTCTACTGTAGGCAAAGGTATCAGAATTTTACATTTTTAACATTTTTATAGTTTTCCTAGATAAGATAAAGGTTTCAAGGGTACCGCTGTAAATCGGGCATTGGTAGGGTCACTCGAATTCACGCTCACTGTCCCTTTAACAGAGTTCGAACTGCACATATATTTAAAAACTTCTTATTTATATTTTTGTTCTGTTTTAGAATCCTGATGGTGCTTGTTTGGAGTTTAAGTATTGTTGGTCTTGTTCTTATAATTATAGAAGTAGATGGGCTCACACCTACAGTTTTCACCAATCCTCATGCTATCATGGGTAAGAACTGTCCAATTATTTAATTTGGTTTTATTTACATGTTCATAAAAAACGTTAACTTTCTCCATCTTTTTCTTCCTTGCCCACACTTACAAATTATTTAAGTCGTAAAAAATGAGACACTGATGACGACCTGAAACTCTGTAAACGATGGCGGTCTGTGTTCTTTAGCCGGNGTTGATAGTAGACCTTAATCCACACAGTTGATAGTAGACCTTAATCCACACAGTTGATAGTAGACCTTAATCCACACAGTTGATAGTAGACCTTAATCCACACAGTTGATAGTAGACCTTAATCCACACAGTTGATAGTAGACCTTAATCCACACAGTTGATAGTAGACCTTAATCCACACAGTTGATAGTAGACCTTAATCCACACAGTTGATAGTAGACCTTAATCCACACAGTTGATAGTAGACCTTAATCCACACAGTTGATAGTAGACCTTAATCCACACAGTTGATAGTAGACCTTAATCCACACAGTTGATAGTAGACCTTAATCCACACAGTTGATAGTAGACCTTAATCCACACAGTTGATAGTAGACCTTAATCCACACAGTTGATAGTAGACCTTAATCCACACAGTTGATAGTAGACCTTAATCCACACAGTTGATAGTAGACCTTAATTCTTGAATATCTTATCATTATGAAAAAAGGCAATAATTAGAAAAATTCTAAAAAAACGATAAACCCAAAAAGCCCAATTACAGGTGGTTTTTTGGACCGGGGTTTTTTATACCAATTCCCTGAATCAGAGTGGCACACCTGATTCACAACTGTGCCCTTTAAACATTCTCTGCTCAATTCTCTGTGGAAGATATCGTCGGTTTTTTAGCTTGAAAAGCGTTAAACCCTGACAATTTCCTTTTTTTTCTAAAGCAGAAATGCACAATTCACTACTTTGTAGCGAAAATACAATTGAAAATTATTAATTTTTGATTTGATAATGCATTATTGAACAGACAAATCTTTCAAGGGTACCGATCGCGTTGTAAATCGCGAATGTCCTTCTATCATAGAAATGCCGAGATACTTGAAAATACGTCTACACTTTACAGTCCTTTTAAAGATGATACCGATAATAAATATCTATTGCAGGATTTATAACTGTTGGATTAGCCTTCCTCCAACCCTTCATTGCTTTACTCCGGTGCAGCCCTGTGCATAGACATAGATGGATCTTTAACTGGATTCACTGGATTATAGGTGATATAGATTATATCTGCAGAAAGGACAACATGGAACCGAATTTAGTGAGTTTCAGGAGTTGCTGAACTGCCTACCGCCCGTTCAAATTTGAATTAACGATTCATATCCTTTCTGAGTTTGAATCAGTGGTTCAAATTTGAACCGGCAGAAGGTAGTTCAGCGACGTAGCTCAAAATCATTAAATTCGGTTATAGTTGTTTTAGTGTTCAAAATCATTATTTCCAATTGTCACGATGGTTAAATCATCATACAACATTTTTTCCTTTAGATTTTTTAACATAAGAATTACTTTTTATCCCGCCATTATTTCATAAATACAAAAATTTATTTTTATTAACTTAACCATTAATGTTACGGACAACATCAGTTGAATCTAGATTTATCATAAAATAATATTGTTTTGTTAGGAAACGGTGCTCATGCTCTGGGAATTATCACCATATTTTTTGCTGTGGATCTTGATAAAGCGCTTTTGCCGCGTCCAGAAACTGATTATCTCCTGATAGCTTGGGTCGCATTCCATTTTGTTACGCACTTCCTGCTCTCATGCTTTGCTTGCGCATCTGACTCGAAAGCTGCTAAATCGTAAGTTATAAAAATAATTAGGAAACTTGTACATTTCTCATACTTTTTATGTACACTGCTAGTAAACATTCCAAGCATGGTATACGGTACACAGTTTAAATTTTGTCATTTACTGGGACCTAATTTAACAATTGTACATAAAGCAAAAAAAGACCAAAAAAGGGTCATGAAAGACTTGAATCTTTGCTCTAAAACTTAGCAAATCTCCATAGTATTTATTTCAGTTTGTAATCTAAATAATTTAGCAAATTTTACATTTTCTCAACTTTTTATGTTCAGTGCGAGTATGCATCCCAAGTATGGTGGGCGGTACAACGGGCAGGCCGGGTACAACCCTAGGCATACAGGGATGTACCCAGACTACGAGGAACTCAAGAGGGACACTCCCGGATCCTGGGTCAGGTACAATACATACAGGGTGACCCATAAAAGTTTGGAACAGGAAAACTACAATTCAGCAATGTCATTTTCATTTAACGTTGTTTCAATTTTCAAAGCAAAAATTTTTGCACAATTGCTATTTTCAGGTTCATTAGAAGTTCAAAAACTATTATTTCTAATAGTCGTCTTCTTATTCCAAAGATTTATGGGTTCCACTGTGCTCTATTTAGCGAACTTTTTATATTCAAGCATTATTTATTGATTCATATTCTATTCAACTAATAATGTTCAGTGTACATGAACACTACTTAGTGCTTATGTACTGTACTGTGTAGTAAGTAAACACTATGAACTGTACTATAAATGTATTCAGGGTGTTTACACTGGTGATGTACATGTTGATCAACTGTATAGTTTCTGCTGCTTTAATTCTCCTTGTTGTGATGGCACCAACCAGGTGATTGATATATTTAACATATTGGTAAATATTTATAACCAGCTTAAGGGCCCGGTGTTGGCGGTGGTAAAAAAATTCTAATTTTTTTTTAATTCTGAAATTTTTTTTTAATTAATTAGCCTTTGTCACCCCCAGGCTACCCATTAGTGCTCACAAAAAAAATTCAGCAAAAAGTCCCCTGCACGTATTAATGATATATTGGAACATTTTTCTTTAAATTGTCCCAAAAAAAATAAATGATATATATTTTATTTCAGACCTATTTTGATCAACATTGGTATTCTGAAACAGTAGAGAGATTGATCAACAATATATTGGGTTTTAATTTCTTTTTATTACAAAATTGTTCTATTTACATCAGTTTAATCATTTGAACATGGAAAATTTGTAAATTAAACATTTAATCATATTAGTTTGAACTATTCCACAATTACTAAGTATTAACTAGAGATATCTCATTTAATTTGCATTTTACCCTCAATTGACTAAAAATATTAGCTTTTAAAGAATTCTAATATTTATATGTAATTTAATTGCATTTTAACCATTAATGTCTCAATTAACTATCTGAAAGCAATCATTTTTTTTAAAACGACAGCTGATGTTTTGCGCCATTTTCTGGAGTTACCAACCACGTGCTTTGTACACTGATACTGTACACATTTTACTTTTTGAATCATATCAACTTAATATAATATATTTTATTGATACATTTAATTCATTTATTCAGTTATTTGCCCATGTTTCTAAATTATTTCGAAACAACTTTATAACTTTAATATTTTTAAATTTGTCCTTAATCCATATTTTTTTCTAATTTGTCTTTTATCCAAGATATAGGATAGAGGATATATTCTTATTTTTTTAAATGCATATGATGCTTGCATACATTACGTTATAATATATATTTTAAATATTCTTAAAACATGTTGCCAGTGTATTTTTAATTATCTGCGCCTAACTATGGTATTTTGTAAATATTGACTGTGATTTTACCACTATATATGACACATTGAAATAAATAAGTGTTTTATTATGGATGTCTTTGTTAACAAGAGAATTTAGAGGACAGGAACTTTAGGAACATTTTTCCTTTCCAATTTTTCTGAAATTTCGATAGTGCACGCATATCCAAAAGATTTCAATTCAGATCAATTTGTATACAACAAATTTGGCTTTAAGAAATTGTGAGAAATATTGAAATTTTCATTAAATATTTTCCAGTCAGTTAATTAAAGTACAGGGTGTCGCAAGAACATGGGAATTCAGTGATGAAGTGGATATCGTCTTTGTTATGAATTAGCATTGTAATACCTGATTTCAACAGCCATAATATTATGTCTGCTAGAGTTTATTTTATGAAAAGGGTAAATGACTGTAAAGATGTGTCTATAATGTCTCTGCAAGATGAACAGTGAAAACGGACGGGTTTACTCTGTTTGTAAGCAATTTTCTTGTTTTACTAAGTACAACCCTATCTGCAGTCAAAACATAAACAAACAGTTACAAAATGTGAACATAGCAGACGCAACTCTAACAGATTACAGCTTTCTCAGTAGATATCACTATACTAAATCAAAGAATTATTTGAAAAGACGATATCGAATTCGTCACTGAATTCCCATGTTTATTGGGACACCCTGTACCTTCGATAAAAAACGATTAAAATAGTATTAGCTAAAGAAGAAATGCACTTTTAAAAAAGGATTATGAGAAAAATTTAAGTGCGCAATCAACGATTAATAAATTCCGGACGGATTATCTTCTGATTAACCAGTCAAAAAACTTCTGTCACTTCGTCCAATTGTGACACTTCTTTTTAAATCTTTAATTGCAATTACCAATATATGGTTCGTCTTGTATCAGTGTCCTTGGGATCACTAGGATCATTTATGGGTAATGTGAGGGAGGGAAGGCAACCTCTCCTGCACAGCTCCCGAACCTTATTTTACCTATTTGCGGCAGTACGCGTCCCCATGGCTTCCGAACCTCCCCAAACAGTCGTCCGGGAAGGATCTTCCATTAAGATTGTCAATTTATCTCCTTACGGGACTATTCCATCATAAAGTATCCTTAACTTTGCAATTATTATTTTTTTTTTAACTTTCAAATTGTTCGGGCTGAAAAAACTTAAAATTTTTAGATTTTAATTAAATTTGTGTTTTGTTTTGATTTGCAGCATTTGAATCCCCATACTGCAATTCCGAACCGATCGAGATTCGGAAGCAATTTTTGGATTAAGACTTCAACGTTCGGAACTTGATGATTTTTAATTCCATATTTGAAATTTTGAACAGCTTCAACTCCCTTGAACTTAAGTAAATAAAGGAATTTACGTAAATGCGTAAAACTTAAAGAAATTTGTTTTTGCAGACGAAAACTTATTATATTAAGTTAATTTACCTGCAAAATAATGCATTAACCAATGAGAAAAGGCGGCAAAAGATCCTTCCCGGAAGACTGTTTGGGGGAGGTTCGGAAGCCCTCTGGCCGGACGCGCACTGCCGCAAATAGGAAAATTAAGGTTCAGAAGCTGTGTGGGGGAGGTTGCCTTCCCTCCCTCGTAACGTTACTTCTGTTCTGCGGCATTGGTAATTCTGCTGGAAAAAATAGTACCAATATTACACGTAATTATAGTGAAGAAAACCGGTTTTGAAACAACATGAATACTGTATAAGTATTAGATGGATCCTTGCAGAAAAAGCTAGTTTGACTAATTAATATCAAGGTCGTAAAGATATTCTTAATGAACTCAATTTTTCCTTTAGTTGAGGAGATTAAAATTTTTACATCATCCTACACTACGATTAATGTGTTTTTTGAGGTAATGTTACGTCGTCTATACGCAACATCCCCCCTACTGAACTTCCGACCTATACTAACGTTCCGACCTACTGCAATATTGAACCTAAGCCTCATACGCCAGCTGTTTATTTTTGTATTATAATTGAGGGTTAGGTTAGTTAAGACAATTTCTGGGCCCAGCGCCGCGGCTAGGACAGGCTTTAAGGGTTTATTTTGTCGTTAAAGATTAGAGATTAAATTTTTACATCATCCTACACTACGATTAATGTGTTTTTTGAGGTAATATTACGTCGTCTATACGCAACATCCCCCCTACAGAACTTCCGACCTACAGGGTGTCCCACATCATATTAGACCGTCAACAGGTCTAAATTGCGATTTTCGGGACTAATAAGAAAATTTAATTAGAATAAATCAATTTGAAAAATAACATAAGGCTTATATAATAATTTTCTTGCGGAAAATGATAAGTTTTTCGAGTATTAAGGGTTTATTTTGTCGTTAAAGATTAGAGATAATCTAATATGATATGGGACGCTCTGTATACTAACGTTCTGACCTACTGCAATATCGGACCTAAGCCTCCTACGCCAACTGTTTATTTTTGTATTATAATTGAGGGTTAGGTTAGTTAAGACAATTTCTGGGCCCAGCGCCGCGGCTAGGACAGGCTATGGGGGGCCGGCGCTACGGCCACAAGTCCATATAGCAGCTGTAAAACCACGTGCTAGTAGGTTGGATGTGTAGTATAGCGGATTTGGCGTAGGTCGAAAAAAATGCAACACCGTTTTTTGAATCGTCTTCGTTTTGTTTTTACACAACATTTTAAATTAGAGAATATTCAGCGGCATCCATTCCATCCTTGCGGCCCTTACACTCGAAAAAAAGAAATATATGCTTGGAAGATAGGAATTTGAAACAAAAGGAAAGGCTAAATTCGAAGCAAGTTTTGTGTATTCAGTAAACTGATCACATAGATTAATTTACTCCATATGCCACTCTTCTAGCTTTTTGGTTAGAATTTTTCTTCTTTAGGAAAATGTCAGCTCTCATCGTTTAAATAAAATTTGGGAACACTTTTCACACCCTCCCTTTCCCTTCCACAATCCCGTTGGGGGACTATTTTTACTTTCCCCAATCCTTACATATATTATACTTTACGGGCTGTGCTATCTTATTATTTAGTAATCCTTCATGCACAGTTACCTTATGTGCCGGCTAGACTTAGTATAAGATTTTTAAACCCCCCTTCATCCTACCCTCCCCCACCTAGATTTTATTATTTTCAACAATTTAACAATATTTATTTTATTATTACTCTTGGAATATGCTAGGTAATGATAATTTCTAGAATTGCGCCTAGGGCAAGCTAGGGGGCAGTCGTTCCGGCCACGCATCAAACATAGTCCATGTGTGAAATATATGGTGTATGTACGAAAATTAACATGATGGGGTATCTTAAGTAATACATAAGAACTTTTCATAAACGGGGGCGGTGTGTGTGGAGGGGGG